ATGTTTCACGGTATCATTTTCAGGTCTTGATTGGTCAAAGAAATTTTCGGCAGGTTTGATACGCCAATGATTATTGGAATCAGCGTGCTTATAACCTGTGACTTGCTGACCTATATATAAACGTTGTTAGCGCGTTGTTTAAATTGTCCAGACAATGTAACCCAAGGAAAAAAAGAATATCAAATAAGAATACCGGCGCTACTGATACGTCCATCTTCATACCGGCGCGGATAACGGGCGGTGTGAGAATGTAAAAATGCCTTAGTATCTTTGTGCTTCAGAGTAATGGTATCATTGAACCTTATTTCTGATTAAATAATCACATCAGAGTCTTGACACTTGAAGGAAATATGATAATTATTTAAGCAAGCAAGTTTACCTAAGCTTTGAAGGTTCACGACGCTGTCCTTTAATGTTTCTTGGAATGACGCACTCATAAACGCATCTCCGGGGCCGCTCGTATTCAATATAAGAAAATGAATATAAAACCAGAACAAATATACGGCAATCGGCACAACTATAAGACCAAGGGCCCGTGCTAAAAAGTGTTTCCTAATATGGTCCTGTAGGATTAAACAAATTTATAACCTATTTGAAGAAAGAAAAAATCCTTGATACTCAAAACTTACCATTGATAATCCACGTTTTATATCCAATAAGTTCCATAGATCATAGATAACAGCATATCCTATGGTAAAAACTGTAAAAAGTCCAACCATCTTTACGCTAAAATAAAAAATTAGCACGGTCAAATAACGAGATAATGCAAAAATAGAAAGACATATTCATCAGATACTGTTGAATAAAGATGATATATTTTACCTTAAAGTTAGACCAAGCGTAACACCAGTGGCAATCAACCAATACCACCATTCATTCGAAAATTCTCTAAAATACAAATGTAATCAATGAATAAACAGTAAAAATCAATCAAAAAATTATGCAAAATGCATACCTTAGACGATATTTATAGAACTTGATATAGCAGTAAAAGGTGCACATCATAAAGAAAACAAGCATCGAGTCGAGAAGAATCAGTCGCGTTTGGCAAATCAAAGCATTATCTGTATTTGTCAAATATATTAAAGTAAATATATTATCCCACAAATGAAATAATAGTAATAATAGTTTATGTGTACTTGCCAAAAAGTACCAGTCCGGCGGCTAATATCGCGGTGATCATTGGGTATCCCGATTCTTTCATGATTTGATATGCAAGAGGAACGTATAATGCGCCTAGGGCGGCAGGCAATGATCGGAGTCCCACATAAGGAACATCATTCTGTATGTAGTCGACACCGATTTTATTGAAATCGAAATGACCGTCGTAACCCAGGATCCAACCCATGGCCGCAATCATTAATTTACCGAGGGGTGGATGAACATCAAAATAATAAGTTCTTTTAAGATAATAGCTCGCAAACTTTCCAAAATGAACTTCGTCGAAACTGTAAAGTGAAATTGACAAAAAAATTTTTTATTAACTTCATGTCCAAGCGACCTGGTGGCCATGGATAAGAACAACTTACACAACTTCTTTCGGATGAGAAATCATATAAAAGCGTGTTGCGAAAGACAAAATAGTGAGGATCGCTAAAACTATAATGTTTTCATTTTTCGTCACTCGAAATAAATCCTACAAAAAACATAAAAAATTTAGGTTAAACTTTGAAATCTTGCAATTTTGTTGATCATCTCAACAATTTATAAAACCTTCTTCTTATCGTCGAGATCGAAGTAAACATCCTTTTCCTGAAAATTGACAGTTTTTTCTTGCCTATTACGAATCGGCATTTTTTTGAGTGTAAAAAAGTTGAATTCGTAGTTTTCCAAATTTATTCTCGTATTTATTTGTTCATCGAATTTGATCTATATTATTGTTTACTTTATTGTAACATCAAATATTACACGTGCATCGTCCTAGAAATCGTTCTTGGCAAATTCCAATTGATCAGTGTCGCCAACTAAATCGTGCATTCTTATTGGCTAATTTATAACTTTCCAACTAACGATTTGTAACACTACTTCCAAG